AAATAACCATTTTCTTGCTTTTTTTTTTTTTTTTTTTTTTTCTTTTTTTTTTTTTTTTTTTTTTTTTTTCCTTTCTTCCTTTAAGTTCTCCATACCTGCTGAATTCTCAGGGATTCCAGTTCCCTCTCTAGTCGTGTCCGGAGACGGTGCTCTAGCTGCTCACGTTTTTCACATGCTGCCTGGAGCTGTACAAGGGCCTGCTGCATCTTCTCCACCTTGTCAACGTACACTTGCTTCTTTTTCAGCTAGAAATCCACGTTGGGTAATTTGCAAGATGAAAGGAAAAAGGGCAAGCAATGGGGTCAATTATGTATCCCCCAAATCCAGCCTTCTGTTTAATCTCTTCTTATATGGAATATTTTGGGGGATGGTTTATCTTATTTTGGTTATTGCAGTAGGCAAATGCTTTAAAATGGGGGATCTCCAGAAAGAAAGGTTTGCTTTGGTATGGAAAGGAAGCCCACTCCCTTTTATGTAGCTGTCTCTTCTCCAAGTGGGAGTAAAAGGGTGGTCAACTGCTGAAGGTACAAGAAGGTCAGAATTATCTTTTTTGAAGTCTTTGGTCCTGGTAATCACCCCATATAGCCCACCACTGCTCTTCTGGAGAGTTTCTGCTTCTCAAAAGTAAGGGTGTCGTGTGATGGTTCAAAAGTCTTTAGCCTTCACATTCCCTAGTACTGCCTGGCTAGTTCTTTAGGTTATTTCTGATTGCTACTTGATGAGCCTGAATTGGAGATCCTGGGCTACAGTCTCTCAAATTTTATTCTGGAACCTTAAAAGATCCAGAAAGCCTAAAACTAGTGAAGCAAAAGTGAAACTAAATGAGTCAAACATTATTATTCCTCTTTGCAAGCCTATAAGCCATATCCAAATACAAATGTAAAAGCAGGTAGGGAATAAGAATATGAGTTCTTTGTAACCTTGAAGCTTATAAGCAAAAGCTTGGCTGTACGCAGATAAAATAATGAGAAAGATCTCAGAGCTCTTAAAGAAGATATGTATACTCTCATTACCCAGAAGACAGGGGAAAATGCAGGCTTCCCACCTTGTTAATAAATAAGCAGATTATGCTTCTCATAATACTTGTACTGTACCCTCAATGCTAATAAATCAACTGAGCTGTTTCCAAAGCAGAAATTCTGCCAAGTGGGGCACATCTGTCATTATCCTTCTGATGGGAGTTGATATTAGGGATACCTTCATTCTTCAGATTAAAATATAAAAATATTCTTGATAACCTGGTCAAAAAGAAACTCAGGAATCCGATTCTGACTTTTCAACAAATTCTCAAGCTCTTAAGTTACCTAGGCAGATAATTGTAACATAAGAAGTTACGTACCCTACCAGCATTGCCCAACAGCCACTTAGCTGGGGCCCAGTTGGCAGAACTAACCTGACTCCCTCATTGCAGAAACCTCACGGTAATGAGTCCAAATCACTACTTGCTAGAACTTCCAGTCAGACAGTATTAGCATGTACTGGTGGGAAAATCCTCCTTGTCTTATAATGCCCCTCTACTCAAATTAGAATGGCTGATGTTTCTTTAAGTGGAAGGAATCCTATTTGTATTTTCCTACCAGGCCTGTAGTATGCCTTGCCTAGGTGACTGGAAAACAAAAATTTTTTGACTTTTGTTGTACTTTCTTGACATTTCCTTTCATTCCAAGCCTCAATCTAGCCTTGTAAACCACTGGAGATGAATTCAAAGCTTAGATGTTTTTATCCATCAGAACTTTTCCTAGAAATAAAACAAACAAAACATCATCATACTCTTTATCTCAATAAGTTTAAACCTTTCTTCCCTGGGATTTGTGACTATTTGTAACAACACTAACTAGAGCAACAAAAACTTTTGCCTCTGCCTTCCTATTTGCCAAGCTTTGAATAATTGGAGAGAAGGAAACATCCTCTATCCTTTACCTTTTGGGTCTTATAATCCTCATGAGCAATTTAAAGCTGAATGCATTTATTTGTGAATTGCTCTGAAAACCCTAAGGGAGCAGAGCAATGTTAATGTAGAGAATGTTAGCTATAATTACTAAGGCTTACAGCAGTTATACTTAAAGGCAATTAAATCTAGATAGCAAGTAGTTCTTGCCTTGGTGGTAAACTACTGCAATGCAAGCTGAGAAAACTGAAAAATAAGCAATCCAGGGCCATGTGGATTTCTTAAGAAAGGAAACCTAAATATCTAAATATCATGGCAAAAGTGCCCCCACAATAGAAGTCACTGAGCCAACTCTCTGGAAGGGAAATGCAATAAAGGTCCAGGGAGTTCTCTGAGTTGGCTGAAGATAGGCATGCAGGTCAGATAAATTCCACAAAGGAGGCCAAAAAATATCTCATTTTGATTTGCCACTGGGATGATTTTCCATGAGGTAGCAGGACCACTGTGCATGGCATAGTTCTCCCACCTTACTTAAAAGGAGAAAATGTGCAACTCACCCATAAGCATCATAATCACCTAGTAAATGCTTACTCTCTAGATAAGTTAGGGTAGAAAAAGACAACTCTTACATGTGATCAGTGCAAGATCCTAGAGATGCAATCAACAAAGGCAACCATCTTCTAAGTTACACTCTCTACATTTTCTTGATCTTATCTACATGTAAAAAGGAACAACGACCTATTCGCTTTATTGACTTCACTACTATCTTGGACATTATGTGCTTCACTTTTACCTTGGTCATGACAAATCATGATGTATCTTTATACAGATCAAATGAGATGATGCATTAAGTGCTTAGTAGAGTGTATGGTACAGAAAGTACTCCGGGTTGTTCTTTTTTAGAGAAAAAGTTAATACCAAGTCATACACATTCCAACCCTCTCAACTTTGAACACTTGCTCCAGACATCCTTGACATGGCTATCATTCTCTCAGTAACTCTAATGATCACATCAGTATCTAATTAAAACAACACAAATATAGCCAATTTCCCACAGAAAGACATATAACACTAGGCCTCAAATATTTTTATGTTGCAAATATCTTTGGATAGCAAGTTGTTCATTGGAAATACAGTAAGAAGCAACTATTGAGTAGCTGCAAGGATACCATATTTCTTTCCAAATGATATGATTTGCAAGGTACCTCTGCTTTAGGAGAAAGAAATATCTTACCTAAGAATAAAGGTACTATTTAACTAAAGACCCTTAGGCAGAAGTAATTGTCTTTCTCTCTATCTCTCTCTCTCTTTCTTTCTCTCTCCTTCCCTCTTTCTCTCTGTGTTTGTGTACGTGTGTATGTGTATGTGACACACACACAGATAATACATATCAGAAATATCTATCTAACAACACAATGAAAGGTAAAGGAACAAGGTGACAATCAGGAGGCTTGCATTCTAGTCCCAGCTCTGCTATTAATAGCAACTTGCTTTCTAGTCTCAGCTACAGAGAACTCATTTGTTTAAAAAAATGAGGGGGGTGTCAGGAGTCAGTGAACCAAAATGGCCAGCAGCAGCCCAAATACAGCCATGTCCCTTGATTTTGTCTATAGCTGCTTTATAGCTACAATGGCAGAGTAGAGCAGTTGGAGTTGCAACTAAAACTGCATGGCCCAGAAACCCCAAAATATTTACTATATGGTCCTTTAAAGAAACAGTTGGCAAACCCCTGGAAGAGGTTTTCAAATGGTGTTGCAGAGTCCTAGTGTTTGATGCAGGTGCTTGAGGGGTCACTATGGTAGGTGGGTTACATCAGATGGCTCCTCTTTTATGAGCTTTACATATTAGGGTTCTGTTTAAAATTTCATTTGAAAAAAATAATGGCCAGAGCTTTATGTGTGTTGTATTCACATTCATTTTTGTTGTCTGTTATCTGCCTATTATATCCAAGGCACTTTTACACCTACCTCCCCTCTCTCCTTTAGACCAGAAATGCTGCTCTGTCTCATCCATATCTCAAACCACTTGATGCTTTTATGTTCACCACCCAGTCTACTGTCACACTCTCTCCTGTTCAGCCTAGATATGGCTCTTAAAAATGCCCTTTTCAATCTAGGCTTCTACTACCTCAAAATTCTACCAGGTCTACTATGCAAATACTCAAACTTCATATTGGTCTGATCATTTCTTCATCCCTTCTCACCAAAATCACTAAACTCTCCAAGAGTTCTTCCTTGAATAATCTTACCTGATCCTGACTGCTGCTTTTCTCTATAGCTTCTCATCCTGTGTCCTCTATTAATAGTCATTTTTCAAAGATTTTATTCATGTATGGATTCAATCATTCATTCAATAGATATTTACTGAATGCTTCTTATGCATCAGGCCCTATTCTACATATGAGAGCAGGAGGGATGTAGTGGGAAACAAGACGAAGTTTTTCCCTCAAATGAAAGGCAGTATCCATAGGCCACTTAAGGGCAGAGCCCTTCTATTTTCCTTGATATCGCTCTTAAGTTCTAGTTCTAGTTTACTGGTCACTATATTCTTGGTGAACAGTTAATATTAAATAACTGTTACATTCAAGAACAAAAATGAGCACAGTATAGCTTATCTAAAACACTGCAAATATACAAACAACAAACACATATCTCATAAATGTATTTACTTTGTTTGGCCCAGTCAAGATAAGAGTTTCATATCATTCCTACTCAGAGATGAGTATTTAAAGAGAAATCATAAAATTGGGAGGAAGAACAGTGAGAAGGCAATCTACTGAAGCATAAGGCAAATACTCTTGAGCTCAATCAATCATGTGATTTTCCATTACACTTCTGTAATATTTTGAACCAGTTCCCAAGAATTTGGCAGATCTCTTAACCCCCTTCTGACTCAGGAAAATCTGATCCCTGCAAATGAATACCACGTGATGGCATCTCTTTCCTCCTTCCAACAACTGTGGGTGTCTTTCAAACTTATTTTTTAAAGGATGGCTATATACAAAATTACTTCTAGAGCCCCATTAGTCTTAGCCATTTGCAAGGAAGTGACTTAATAATTTAGCTAGCTACCCATTTATTCACTGGCGGACAAAGAACAGGGTTAAAATGTTTTAGATTTAAGAGATCTGGTTTTTCTTCTAAATTTATCATTGACTATATCACCTAATCTGTCTGTACCTTAATTTCTTAATCTGTCAAATAAGGATAACACTTGCAAGGTTCTTTGGGGGGATATACTAATATATCTATAAATATTTTTAATGTTTGAAAAATACAAACAAGAAAATACAGATCAGTACACAGAAAGGACAGACTATTAATACTAGCTGGATGACCACCAACATATACACACAGT